GTCGACTTTCCAGAATAGTCGTAGTATAGAAAAGAAATTTAAGAAAATTTGGATAAATTATTGCTCCCAAAAAAATAAAAAGAAGAAAAACAAAAACAGAAGGATAAGGGATTTCTGCCCACCCTCTTCCCCTCCCAAGAGGGTCTGGAACCCCCATTGCGCCCTCCAATCCGGCCCTCCATCTTTGATCCCCGCCCAGTTTCAACCCTCTTGATGGAGGAAGCACTCCCAAACTAAACCTGCAACTTACTGCTTCCCCTTCTGACGGATCTTTTGCGCGCGCGCGCGCTCCCTCTCTAGCTCCCTCTCTCTCTCTCCCGATACTTCTCTCTTTTTTCATTTCTCTCTCTCTCGTTTTCTTTCTTCGCAATCCTCTTCTCCCTCCTCCATCATCTCTTCTCCCAATCCCAATTCTCAACCTTAGTTTCACCCTAGACCCTCTCTCCCGACCTAGTCAACCAAGCCCAAGCTGTGGGGATGGTAGATGCTCTATTAAATTGATAACCTCCCCTCCCTCCCTGATCTCCTCGTTCTTTATCGTTATCGTTATTCTCCTCGTCGCATAAATCTGGGATCCCCATATACTTTCTCCCACTTCCTCCTACTACCTACTCTTCATATACTCCATCTTTCTTCTTCCCACTCCTCATATTCCTAACCTTTTTCCACTCACATTGCTACTCTCCTGCAACCTACTCCTACTTTCCGGGAGTGCTTTCTCCTCATATCCTCTCTTCATTTTCTTTATACTATCTACTCTCTGGGGCCGCATCCGCGAATTCGTCCCCGCCAGCGCTACTCCTCCCCAACCCCTCATCAGCGACAGTCTTTCCTTACCTGTCTCAAAAATTCAGTCAGTCTCGTCTGATTTATCACCTATCCTGTTCAGTTCAACTTCTGTGGGATCAATTTGTTAACATTTTGTTTCTGCAGAGAACCCCTCCTATCCCTTCCAGTCACTTGATACTGATAGCAGCCCTCCTTTGCCCCACGTGATAAAAGGCGACACGCAAAGAGAGGATCTCCCCACCCACTATGGCTGGCACCATGGCCGACGACGAACTGTTCACACGGGCTATCTCTGGGTATCGGGACGCTTTTTTGGTTCGACACTCCCACCTTCCGGAATCCGAGCGGAATCAACTTTGGAGTCAGCGGTTAAGTCAGTTCATGACCACCACGGCCTCTTCGTCAGCTTCCCCCTTCGATGCCTCCTCCAGCTATCGCCCGGTTCCCGGCTCTGGTGTCTCCGAAGACGACAGCGCTGCTTTGGAGAAGTCTGGGAAAAGGACGCGACAGGATACCCCCCGGACTCTGCCTGGCTCTGGTCTCCCCCCACCGAAACGACGAGTCACCGTACGTGAATCATCTTGGTCTTCTACTCCCGCCTTCTATTCATGTCTTCGTCCTTTCCCATTCTGTTCTCCTCGCGTTACTCCATGACCTCACTGTCTCTCTCTTCCATCTCCCGACAACAGTCCCTGGATTGACAAATGGCAGACTCCGGAACCTCCAGTGACCGTCGACTTGACACGCGAGTTGTCTCATGCTTCCTCCCCGGCGGCCCCTGAGACAGCTCGGCGCTTGTCAAGAACCAATTCACGGAAGGATACCGCGGCTACTTTCTCGGGTCCTGGGTCCTCGCGACAAACGGCCATGGTCCGCTCACAGAGTCAGCAAACGCCGGTTTCACACCGCCCGTCGCTGGCCGCCACCAATGTGAAGGGACATCGGCACTCTTATGGACCTCAGCGCGTGCAGCGTCGGCTTGACCATGTGAACGAATATACCCCCTCGGAGTACGCCAAGCAATACTTGGGTGACTTCCAAGGCCAAGGAAACATTTCGGCTCTCTCCATGGCGCTTTCGGCGGATCCCGCGCTCTCTGGATTTGACCAACAAAGGTCGCAGTTAGTTCAGGCCCAGCCTGAGCTGATGGCCGACTTCGCCACCTTGGCAAACCCCACGATGGTTGACCATCCGGCCGCGGTGGAGATGAGCAGAAGTACTACCACAGACTCGCTTTGCGGGGGGTTTGGCATGATGAGGTTTGATTCCTCCGGACCAAATCTTGATTCTACTTTCTCTTTCTCTGTGCCTTCAACCGAGTTCATGCCTTCCAGTTCGCCGATGAATGTTCCCTTTCCCACCAGTTTCAACCCCCTGCACCAAAATCCCACTCATGATCTCGCGTTCTCCTACCCTGACTCCGCTGCCCCAGTCTCCTTCTCTTGCTCTGCACCCTCTTCTACCCCCTTCTACTCTCCCATTTCCACTTTCTCCGCATCTCCAGCGACGGAGATGAAGCCCTCATTATCTACTGAGAATGACAGTCCCTCATCCCTTTCCCAGCCCTCCAGAGCAGCGCGCAGAACCCAAGAACAGATTGTGCAGGGCGCTCGCCCTATTGCTCCCAAAGCGGAGCCTCAGAGTAGCTCACCACCCAAGGTGGGTGAGCAGCATAAGATGATCAGGATTTCATCTTGCGATGGGACGGCTAAAGAGGTGGCCGCTATCCCCAAAGCTTCGATCCAGCGGCCCACGCGCCCGAAAACGTATTGCAACATGTGCAATGATCAGCCGGACGGCTTCCACGGGGAGCACGAGCTGCGTCGGCATATCGAGCGGGTGCACGCCGTGGTTCGCAAGGTTTGGGTTTGTGTTGACATTTCTCCTGACAAGACCTTCCTGGCCAATTGCAAGGCCTGCCGCAATGGCAAACGATATGGTGCTAATTATAACGCCGCGGCTCATCTCCGTCGAACCCACTTCAACCCCTGCCAACGCGGTCGGGGTGGCCGTGGCAAAGATAGCGAGAAGCGCGGCGGCAAGGGGGGTGGTAACCACCCACCCATGGACGTCTTGAAGCACTGGATGGTGCAGAAGACCGAATTTGTTGTGGGCAACGCTCCGAGTTTCAATAACCAGGAATCACTAGGGGATGATCTGACGGCCGCACCGCTGGTGGTTGGCGCTGAAGATGTACAATTCTCTAGTCTGCCTCTGGCAGCGGCTGACGAGATTTCTTCTCAAGTCTTAGAGACCGCCCTCATTGACGGGTATGACCCCATGGTTACGTTCCCTGCGATGGGCATGGAGATTCCCTTGGATCCGACGCCTTGCTATTTTGAATCTCCCACGCTCCCCCCTGAGATTGACTCGTATGTGTGATCGTGCGATCTGCTAGGCGCTCTTTATCACCTCAGCATTAATCTTGCATTTTTGGGCATTTTCTCTCATCTTCTCTGTTTGATCTCTTGGCATCTCAGCCTGATGTGATACTAATTCTTCGGCTTTTGGCATTTCTTATCTTGCGGGATCTTCTTGTCTATGATTCTTTCTCCTAGCCCCATTTTTTTTTCTCTTCTCCCGCCACTTATTCTTCTTTTCTCTTTGGGTTCTCTTTGCTACCCTCTTCTTTTATCTTTCAGACACCAAGGGTCGATCTCGTCGCCCTCTAGGCCGCCCTGGGGGCGCGCCACGACATAATGTGTGATGAGCAGACAGTCAACCCGACACAGAATCCTGAATATATTGATTTACTGAATACAATGTCCCGAAGAAATATCCAGAAGCACCCTGCTTTACTCTCCTAGTCTTAGCGGTCTAGGGTAAGGCAGGGGGGCGACTGGCCGACCCACTATACCTGGTGCTTGGTACTTAATTTGGACTTACTACTAATTATACACATTGGACCGATGTTCACGAGACTCCGAGTGCTGGTGATGGCGGTGACGCCCAGTGGCTGGATAGGTGGCGGGGAGGGCGTGTCGGCGGCACAGCCGGAGAAGAGAAACGATGAGCATGGGACGCTGTCTGGCACTAGCCCCCTAACATTGCTATTTTTCCTCAACACCAAACAGGATTTCTGCGGAAGGTGGCACTAATGACTGAAGCAACCTTTCCGTTCACCTGCACTTTAGGCCTGACTATGACGCTCACTGAGCGGCGCGGAAGCGTGGGGTGATTGCGCAAAAGCGCGTGTCAATCCCGAACTGCCCCGTTAGCGATTTCAAAGACAACTAGATACTTAAGCGCTGTTGATCAGTTTGAAACATGCTAGTCATATGACTCTCAATAAGCCGTGTACAACAACAGTATTTTCGTATCTCTTTCTTGCTTCCCAGCCCGCCTGTCCCTATCGCCCTTGCGAACACCTGGCGCTAATAAATTAGCGTTCTCTGCTGCTGCTTGTCTCAGTTCAGAAAAGCCCCAGGAAAAGGAAGTCACCCAGAAAAGCGGTAATGAAATCAATATGTCAATATGTCAATAGCCTGACTATCCATCGGCCGAAAATGATGATGATAGTCTACCATCCACCGCTTCAACGTCGTTTCCGGGTGCTTGCCCTCTCATCCGGTGTTTCTGCGCAGTAAGCCTAGGAGCGCTTTGCTGAAGTCCAAGTGTCTAATGCCATCGAGACACCGGTTAAACAGCGATGCTTTCCCATCAGTCTATCAGAACTATGATGATATTATCCTTGATCGGAAGCAACAAGAGTTGCAGGCGTATCGTACGCGCGTCGATCGACCTGCGCAACGGACGTACCACCGCTCAACGTTGTGAGGTAAATGCAGGTGTCGCTTGATATAAGGCCTAATCGAACCAAGTCTTTCGTTATATCAGTCTTTGACCTGAGTCTACAGCTGGGCATCGACTTGGTTTGATGGTATAATAGGTCTGTGTTACGATGCATCCCGGGTCACCATGGAATGGAGGTTTTACCAGTGGCAAGTCGGGTATGCAAACGAGTCTTATAGCTCTGATTGTACAGTATAGTGGATGCAAGAGTAGACTGATGCGTCGCTCTATCTCCACACATCCTCCCTGGTAATTTAGACTGCAAGTCGCTGGGAACTTGCCATCGAGGGCCCAACGAGAGACAGGCGATAATAGATATAGTTCGAGGACTACATCCGAACATAGAGGATGAGGTTCGCAAATCATGATACTACCTTATCCATCTACCTGTCGACACCACCTCCCCCCCCTCCCGCGGCCTCAATCCCCTTCATCCTCCGCTCCGCCTCCCGCGCCACGCTCCGAACACCCTCATCTTCCCCTTCCATCCCGGCCACCTCGCCAAACCTTTCCCTCCACAGCCCCCACCGCTCCCGACAGAAGCCATGCTTCCCCTTCCACAGGGGCCCGCCGCGACCTCTCGCCCCCACCCCCGGCCCAGCCGCATACTCCTCCTCCCACCCGTAGATCTCCGCCCCGAGCACCTCCACCCACGCCGCCGCCGCCGGCACCCACGCCGCGAGGGGATCCTCCGGCGCCATCTGCTCCCACGGCGTCTCCAGCGCCCGCCGCAGCGTCACGAGCGCGAACCACGCGTGCGCCCGGAAGCCCGGCTCGCGGGTGGCGACCAGCCGCGCGACCAAGCGATTCACGTTCACGATCCCGGCGATCGCCGCGGCTCGCTCCCCCTCTGTCCCCTTGTTCTCTGGGACGGAGTCGTTCCACCGGTGGCGGATCTCCCAGCCCAGCATCGGTAGGTCTTGCCAGACGCGCATGTCGTGAACGGTTAGCGGGCTTTGGGCGTCTTCAGCTTGATCGGCTGCTCTGGGTGCGGGGGCGTCCGGGAGATGGGATAGAGCTGTGAGTAGGTCCACGAGCTTGTCCTGGTGCGCGGGGGTTTGGGTGGCGAGGTCCAGGATTTGGCGCCATAGGTGGGCGAGGTTGTCTTCGAGGGATTCTCCGGAGGCTGGAGGGGATAAGGTGGTTGCGGCGATGGTGGTGGCGGCGGCGGAGGGGGAGGGGGGCTTGCTGTCGGCGAGGTAGGCTTGGAGGATTGGGTGGTAGGGGTCCTGGTCTTTGGTGGAGGTGCCGCTTGAGTCGGCCTGGTGGATGGGCATGGTGTCTTTGTTCTATATAGTGTATTCTTCTATGGTGTATGGAATGGGAAGACGAGACGGGTAACTTATCTGAGAATCTTTTACTTGATCAATCTAATTTATAGGCAGGGGACAGAGTAATGACAAAAGCCAAGGCTGAGGTAGATCTGGCCAGATATTTAGATACGGGTTATCAGGATAGGGAGTTTCGGAGGGAAACAGGGAATAGATAGGTTAGCTGCTTTAGTGACGCTCTTCTAATCTAAGTAAAGGTTGTTATCATGGATATAGAGGAGCGTTAGTCTATACAATTACAATGGTTTGGAGACGTCAGTCACGTGAACCAAACCAATGTTCCAATGCGCATACAGATTACGCTCACGTGCTGCCCTCGCACTGTTAGGTACCTAGGTAGTTATGTGCATAAATCCCTATCGAGAACATTCAGCTGCACGAATCGGGTAAGCAGGCGGGATAAACCGTAGGATGCAGACAATTCACGAATGGTCCATTGGACCAGCAGGCTGCCAAGTTACCTTAACTTCGCAGTATCAGTATCACACAGCGTCTGGAACCATCCATGATCTGGGGGGCAACGAGAGCCCGTGTCTGGGCACTGTCATTGGAATCGGGAAGAAAAAAGAGGGTCTCTGGGACCCAGTGACGATGAACGCTCGTGGCTGGTGCCTAAGCGGTCTGCGGGCTGCGGTGTGCAAAGGAAAAGGGTTTTCTTTTGGTTGCTTTCTTTGGGTCCCGTAGGGCTGCGTGCTGGGCGGAGGTTGGATTGCGGTGTGGCTGAGTTGCGGTCCACCCAAAGTCGAGTTTCTAATGGTATGATTCTGTCTGTACCTGATACCGTTCAGTAATTTATTAAGGACTGGAAGTATGTGTAGGTAGTAGATGACTACTAGGTACCATTCGACTGGGAATTACAAGCAAGATAAATAAGCGCCGAGGGTGAAACCACTGCGTCATTCATACCGAGTGAGTTGCGAATTGATGGCGGAATCCTGAAGATACTACCTATGTAACAGCCATCTTCAATGGAGACGTTCAATAAGTTAATCAATAATACGTGTGGGGGCGGGCTCACGATTCAAATTGGCTCGTGGTCGCCTGGTGCTTGCCGCCGCAGATGCATTGAGAGAGGGTTGAAACCATACGAATACGGCAAGACCACTGCAGCCAGCAGGTGAGGGAAGGGGGAATGATACCATACCATACAACTCCATACGTCGGTGGTATTGACTAAGAAAGAAAGTAAGCCTGGCGGCCTCAGCCTCGTTGCATGAGTGAGTGAGCTCAGCCATCAATCATCGCCAGTCTTCTTCTTCCTCCTCAACTTCCTCCTCTTTCTCTTCTCTCCGTCCCTTTTATCCTGCACACTCAATCAATCCCTTTTTGGTTCTGATCTTCTCGCCCCCCTTTTCTTCTCTTCTGCTTAAGTTATTTGATCTGACATACCTCGAGTCTTTCACTCTCCTTCTTCTCTCTCTCTCTCTCTCTCTCTCTCTCTCTCTCTCTCGCTCGCTTTCTCTGTCTTACTTCCGTCCATCTTACTCTTGGCGTAATCTTAGGTATGTTCCACTTTCTGTTATTATTGGTTCTCTCAGCCACTTGGTTCCTCTTTTTCCCTTTAACCCCCCCCCCCTTCTGGCTCTCTCTGGCCCTCTCAAACCCGCCCGGCCGGCTTCCACTCAATTCACTCACCACTCTTTCGCTCACTCATCTGAAGCCGTCTTCCCGAACTCTCCGTTCTTTCTTCCTTCTTCCAAGCTTTCTCTCCGCTGACCATCATTGCTTCGCATCTCTTGGTTCTCTAGATCCCGTTCTTGTCACCATGTCTCAACAAGGATACTACAACGGTCCTCCTCCGCCGCAGCAGGCGTAAGTCCTTTCCCCTTCCCTCGTCCATTGCGCCCGGTATCTTGGCCTCCGTGCCTCCTGTCGCGCCCCCGGCCTTTCCTCTTATCCAGACAACAATGGCGGATCCAACCCGACAGACTTGTCGAGCACCATGAGGGTCATGTCCAACTGGTCATGCAATTTCCCTGTTTTGCGCTCTCCCGACCAGTTTATCTTGGGGACTGATCCCGACCACCTCATCGTGCGCGACAACTGTTAACTCATCGCCTCCCTACAGTTACGGCCAATATCCCCCGCAAGGTTACCAGCAGGGTTACCCTCCTCAGGGCGGATACCCCCCTGGCCCTCCTCCCCAGGGCTATGCTCCTGTACGTTGCGACTCGAGATCATGCCACTGATTGTCACTAACCGTACCCTTCCAGCAACCCATGCAGTACCAGCAGCAACCCCCTCCCCAGCAGAAGGACCGCGGCTGTCTAGGAACTTGGTAAGCGATCCACTGCATTGCCCTCTCCAGTCCCGCCAGAATCTCTTACTAACATTTGTCTTCTGCTCAGCTTGGCTACTCTGTGCTGTCTGTGTCTGTGCGAAGAGACCTGCGAGTGCTGCTTTGACTGCATCGAGTGCTGTGAAATGTGCTAGACGCCATGATCGATCCATGACCCCCTCCACCTCCTTGTTAAACGAAACGAACTTCCTCCCGATAATGGCGTTGCTGCTTCTATTACACCCCCGACTACGACCGCCACTCCCGCTTACACACCACTAGACCGCTCGAGTTGTTTAGCTGAAAAGGGCGCCGGGAATGAGGGGGCCGTTCAGCGTGGGTGCGGCAGCATTTTTTGTCGCGGTCGCGCCGCACGGGCCTCGCTCCTGGATAATTTCCTATTTTCTTATGTTCTAATCTCATATGTTGCACTGCTTGATTTGTGGAACTGCGGTTTTTTTGTTGTACGGTGATTTGTGTGATTTATTCTGGCTGGGAATCAAGCTCTAGGCTCTTGAGGTTGTGCCCGTGAGAGAAGGTTCCAGAACAACCGGCCTCCTGCATAGCCGCATGGCACTTAATTCATGATTACCTTTTACTGTTAGTTTGGTATCTGCTGAGCGTGCGCATCGAGCTCGTTTCCCTGCGCTGTTGTTACTGTGGTGGTCTTTTGCTTCGTCCAGTGTCCGTTAAAAGTGACGTCGGTAATCTTGGCTGTGTTGGCATTGGTTTGTGACGAGTAGATATCTCAGTTGCGGATCGGCCTTTTCGTCGCTTCACTACGATCCGACCTCCAAGGCTAAGTACGGACGAAACAGAACCATTTGCGCGACTTGGGGAGTACTTGGGAACTTGTTGTGGATGCTAGTGTGGCCACTTCTGATTGTAACAACCGATATGCCTTCGTCTCGAGGTGATCATCTAGAGCATGTGATCTGTCGACTGATTTTCGACTCCCATGATGTCATGTGCGTTGGAATATACTCAATCGCGTAATTCAAACCATCACCGTGGACTTTTGGATGTTGAACGCAGCCAAAGAACCGGATAGGCGAAGTCGAACTCGTCACCGGACCATAAGACGATTCAAAACGAAGCAGTTGCCTTTTGTATCTATCCATCTTGGTTGGATAACTACCATGAGTATGCGGTTATCACTACTACCTACTCACTATCAAAATCAAACCTGAGGAATCAACTCTCGTCTATTCTCTCTCTCTCCTTGATGTTCTAATTTGTGGCGACTTGAATACATCCTGTATCTATCTGGCTATGCACAACTGACCAGATGTGTATGTTCTGCAAATACCCATATGTTCAGCACATACCCATATGTTCAGCAGATCCACCCCCTCAAATCGGGATATCAGAGGATGAACTCGGCCAAGAGAGTTACTTTTACTTCCTAAATTGTGGAAATACTGAGTAACTACAGGCTCAGATGTGAAATCATAGACGGCAAGTTTTTACGCCGATTGGGAAGCGAATCACGCATGAATTCGAAGTCAAGGTTCATATACTTTGTCATTAGGCATCAGAAGTCTTCGCTAAATAGCTTACTAACCATAAAGTCGGGTAAGTAAAGTGATTGATAAGTAGTGCTCCGGGGTAAGTTGTCACATCTCCAACCTTGGCCCATGATAATGCCGCCGCGCGTAGGCGTACCAATTCCCCACCCCGAGGATGAGCATGATGACCAGCACGACGGAGGCGTAATCTGTTCGATTCCCGAATGGGTGTCCTAGTCAGTATATTGTCTGGGTGAAGGGTGAATCTTGGTTGGGGTGGGGGGAGATATAGGGGAGGGAATTGCTGGACGGGTTTATTTTTTATTTTTTACTTTTTTGCTTTTTCCCTGGTGGAAGATGTTGAGAGGGAGAGAGACCGGGGCAACGTACTCATATTCCCCCCCGTGACCGGAAACTCGGTGGGAAAGGTGAAGAAGATGGTGATGATGATCGCCCAGAGGATGCAGACCACGTTGCACAGGTAGCCCAGCGCGTGGGGTACCTTGAAGGTCCGGTCTGGCGGGAGGTAGTCGGGGCTTCGGCGGCGGGAGAGGAGGAGGGCCGCTGGGATGGCGTAGGAGATCTGCGCGACGACTACCGTTGTGCTTATGAAGGCGTTGAAGGCTTTTTTTTTTCTCTCGTTAGCTGTGTTTGGTGGTGGATGGTTTGGGGAAGGGGGGAGGAGGGGTAGGCGGACCGGTCGTGGAGCAGACGTAGACGATGCCTACGAGGAGGACGGCGACGCCGTCGAGGAGAAGAGAGTAGACGGGCACGCCTAGGGAAGGGTGGATGCTGGCTAGCCGGCGGGAGAAGAAGAGGGCGTCGTCGCGGGCGAAGGACCAGGTGAGCCGCGAGGCGGTCTGGTGGACGGCGTTCAGGGCGACCAGGGAGACGACGAAGAGCGCGGCCATGAAGATCGTGGCGGCTACCGGGGAGTGGGTGGCTTTCTCCCAGACGAAGAAGATGGGGAAGCTGTTGTGTGTGTCCCATGGGATGTTGTTAGTGGATTGCTTGACAGGCGGGCGGGCGGGCAGGTGGGGTGGGATATCTTGGAAGAAGCTCACCCCGTGGGACTGTCGAGAGAGGCTTGGATGTTGTTGTAGCTGTACAGTATGGCAATGGCGAACGGAAACGCCGTCAGTAAGCCCACGATGACGGTCACAATCACTGCCTTGGGGACGATGCGCTCCGGGTCGAGACATTCTTCAGCCAGGTGGAGGGTGGCGTCGAGGCCCGAATACATGAACTGCGGCGTGGAGAGGCCGGTCAGGAAGGAGATGCCGTCGGGCCAGCCGCCGGATCCGTTGACGAATTCTCCCCAGGTATGAGACGAGCTGACGTGCGCTGCGGAGCGGGATGGACAGGTGATGGTGAGGGCAAGGAAGGTTGAGATGGAGAGGAGGACTGTAGCAAATGGGATTGGTCATGGTCAGCGTCAAGTTTACTTCACCCGTAAAGGAAGGCATGCACTTACAGCCCAGGTTATAGATCCACAGGGTCTTGTTGGTCAGGAAGATGTTGTAGGCGACCATGATGCCGTTCAACAGCTGATACACCAGGAAGTAATGCCAGCTCTTGGTCTCATACTCGGGCTGCCACCGGATGACAATCGCCATGAGCACGTTGGTCGTGGACAAGGCGATGGACGCCCCGAGGGTGATCCACGCAAATAGGGCAGCGATGCCACTGGTGTATGACAGGACCTTGCTCCAGCGCTTCGAGGCCAGAATTGACGTGAAATGATATTGTCCTCCCGCCGTCGGGTAGACGCTCGCCAGCTCGGCCAAGGTGATGCCCGTGCAGAGCATCGCAAGGAAGACGACGATGATGCCATACAGTAGCGAGACGGAGCCGCCTGACTGAATGGCAATCGAGAAACTCGCAGCTATCGCCACCCAGCTGTTGGTATTGTTGTACCCCATGGCGATGATGCTGAGGATACTGAAATTCCGCTTCATATGCGCATCCGGCACGCCCGTGATAGCAACATGGCCCTTGGCCATATCGACCTCGGGGTCATAGGAGGCCTCATGATCCGCTTTGGAAGAGGATCGCTTAGGGTTGTCTGACTCCATTATTTCTCAAGTGTGGTTCTTGGTCAAGAAACGATGTGGGGAGGGGTGGAATGAAGAGTGCCAAGGGAGGAGCCATTCCATTATATGGCATCTTCCATCCTTCTACAGTACACATGACTTTTGCCTCCATACTTACTTACCTTGGAAGAAAGCCACAATATGATAAGCGAGGTTAGTAGTTTGATAAGATTCCTGGGGTGGGGACGGTGGAATTCGATGATTCATCAGGAGCACGTCTACTTGATAGGTAATGACAGATACTTGTTTACCTACAGATAGCCCGGAACGCTTATCGAATTCCGAGCCCATTTATCAAATTTATCAAAGCGGGCCCCGGGTTGGCCCCAAATTAAGCTTAGAGAGGCCCATTATAGCGGAACTGGGGCGGAATTATCCACTGTTTGCCCCAAGATGATCGTCGCTGATAATGCGGGGGAGATGTAGCTAGTGATGCCAGACTGCCCGTGGAAGAGACCTCCTTTACTGAAGGCCTGAGCCTGGGACCCTTAGCTCATTCCCATTCCCCACAGTTCGCAGGCAGACACATTACTATACTATATGTCTTGTGAATTGACGATGGAATTAAACAGCGGTTCCGAGCCGTCAGGCTAACGGGGGGCCGGGGGTTTCCCTCGGCAATCAGAGATTCAGAGTTTATTTCTCCGCAACGCGGGGGAGGCGGAATCAAGCTGCTCGACGAGGGTCCTCGTATTGAGGAAGTCCCAATCAACAAGCAGGAAACAGTCTCACTCCTCAAATAATACTCGTTCATTCGACTGGCGTTATATATGCTTCCGTGCAACAGACTTGCACCTGTCACTTGCGGGTAGGATGTAGTGTCTGCCCCCTCCTAGAACCGTCCTTATTTCCGCAGCTCATCCAGTCTAGCCTCACCTATTCGGAGACTTCTTCATCATTCGATATACCTTTCTGGCCCCTGTACAAAGCAATCGCCGCTTTGGTGGCTAGCGCGGTTACATCGTGGACCCCACTTGGGGTCTGGCGGCCAGTCCTTAGGCGTCGTGCGAGCGATGCAGGCCTTTACCCTTCGTGAATAGTGCCGCAATGGTGGCCACAAGCCCAAAGCAAGCTGACGCCAAGAAGCACAGACGGATGCCCTGATAGTAGACCAACCGCGCAGCTAGTTGAATGTCCGGCGGAAGGTTGTGAATTGCGGAGACCGAATGACGAATCTCCTCGATAATCTAGTGGAATATGACCTTGATCAGTCCTTGCCCCCATGGGTCAGTATGCTCAAGGAAAGGAGTGTTACTTTCCATTTGTCTGGTATTCCACTCAAGGCCTCCCCGAGGCCCGAGCGCAGTGTATTCTGAATTATGGTGGAAGTAATGGCAACCCCCCAAACAGTGCCCATTGAACGAACCAGGTATACGGTGGAAGCTGACACGGCGTGGTCTTACCGCCAGGTCAACTTCGTTACAATTAGTGCAGTGACACGACAAGGGACTTACCTGCATGGTCAAATGCAGCGAGAAAAGTGAATAAGATCCCTGGGTACACAATACCCTGCCCAAGGCTCGCTGGAATCAAGTAAGTGAAGTATTTCCATTCTGAGTCCTGGAAATGCAGGAGCATCACCAATGCGTTGCCGATACACA